GAGAGAGAGAGAGAGAGAGAGAGAGAGAGAGAGAGAGAGAGAGAGAGAAACAGAGGGAAACAGAGAAACACAGAGAGAGGGAGAGAGAGAGAGAGAGAGAGAGAGAGAGAGAGAGAGCGTGTATTTGTTGGGTTTCTGGGGTTTGACACGGGCGGTGCCAAAGCCTGTGTCCTTTGGGCTGGTGTCATCGCAGCCGTTCCTGCCGGCTATTTCCCGCCAGCCGTGCAGGCTTGCTGCCTTGGTGCGGGGCAGCCGCGTGGCGACGCCCCGCACGCCACACTCGCTCTGCATCCCCGACTCGCAATCACCCGCTGCCGACCCCTCCTCTCAACCGCTCCGCTCCCCTGGCCCCCCAATCATCCCCCAAAGGACCTGGCGAGCGGCTACATGAGCGGGAAGCTGCTGCTGAAGCTGGAGGTGGTGGGCCTCATGCTGCAGCACCACACCTCCAGCGCGTTCCACTTCTTGGATCACCCGGTCAACGGACGCAACAGGTGCGCGCGTGCTCGTGCACAAAAACCTTTCAACAGGCCAGAGACTGCAAGCCGCGCGTGTGCACATCCCTGCTGCGCATATGTGTGGGGGGTGGGTGGGTGGGTAGGCGTGTGTCATGGGTGTTTGGGTGTGTTGCAACGGTGATGGCAGAGGAGACACGGCTGAGCCCAGGATTGCGTGATTGAGCAGTGAGAAGCGCACAGTAGTGTACATGTGCGTGTTCACATATCCCCCCCCCACACACACACATACCCACAAAAGAACCTTCTCTCACGCTTATTGAGACAACACATACACACACACATGCGCGGACACACACACACACACACACACGCCAACGCACGCACAGACGCATACACCCTCTCTTCCTCACTCCCTCTCCTCTCTAAGAATCCTCCCTCCCCTCCCCCCCCCCCCCAAAAAAGGACCGTCTTCTACTCCACCCTGGCGCGGCTGCTGTTCATGGAGGACACCCCCCACCGCTTCAAGACCTTTGTGGAGCCGCTCACGCAGGTCCTCAACGGAATAGCAGCGGCGGCGGCAGCAAACCCGCAGGTGAGGCGCCGTTGTGCCTCTCACGCTTGCTCCCATCGCCCGGCACCCCGCCCTGGGCGGCGGGCAACCCATGTGTCAAATCTAACTTGTTGTTGTCAGCTTGTTATTTGGGCTCCTTGGGTCTTGATGTTACCAGGGGGCTGTGGTGGAGCGTGCTCTGCCCTTGGGCGCGCCCCGCACGTCTGCGGGTACGGCATCGTCCCCCGCATCAGCCGCACCGCCGGATCCGATCAACACGTCGCCGCCGCCCTCCGACTGCGCAACCGCCCCGCGCGCGCTCCTGCCTTTCCTCGGCGCAGACGTTGCAGCAGCAGGTGCCCCAGCAGCTGGTGGTGGGCGTGTTCAGGGACCTGCGGGGCATCGCCGCAGCGACCTCGACACGCCGCACGTATGGCCTGCTCTTCGACTGGCTCTACCCGCAGCACATGCCGGCCATACTCAAGTGCGCGGGGGAGGGTAGAGGGCCAAAAGCGAGGGGCAGCGGGCCGTGCTTGAGGCCGCGACACGCGCCGGCCAAGCGTCACCCGAGGTGCAAGCCACGCGCCACGATGCGCAAATCGAAGCGGTGTCGGCGCGCTGTCCATGCCGTAAAGGCCGCTCCACCCGCGCCCGGCGCGCCCGCCGCACCTTGCAGGTGCCTTGACGCGTGGGCGGGCTGCCCCGAGGTTACGGCGCCGCTGCTCAAGTTTGTGGCGGAGTTCTGCTTCAACAAGAGCCAGCGGCTCACCTTCGACAGCAGCTCGCCAAACGGCATCCTGCTCTTCCGCGAGGTGGGCGCGGGAGACACAAGGAACGAGGGCCCGCAGCGTCCTGGGCCGCGCCCTGCTCCCCCCGTGATCAGCATCCTTCCAACTGCGACGCCTCTCTTGCCCTCACATCCCCCTGCACGCGCACCTGCTGACGTGGCCGTCGCGCCTCGCCGCACACCCGCCGCCTCGAGCCTCCCGCGGAGCCCCCGCCCTGGGCACACCCAGCCCGCCGTGTGGCCGTGCCACCCCTGCCCTTCCCCCGACGCCCCACTCCCGCGCTCCGCTGTCTTCTGTGGCTGCAAATCCTGGGTCCCCCTCAGGTGTCAAAGGTCATCGTTACCTACGGCAGCCACGTGCTGAGCCCACAGCAGCAACAGCAGCAGCAGCAGCAGCAGGCCGCATCCGGCAACCAGGCCTACCCCCTGCGGTACAAGGGAATCTGGATCTGCCTGCAGGCGCGCAGGACGGGGGCAGGGAGGGGAGCGTATGGGGTTGCAGGGTTGCATCGGACTTTTGGCTCGCCGCGGGGGGCACGCTCAGTCGCACGCCGCCTGCCGCTTGCTGAGGCGGCGCTGTCGGCGGCCCTTGCGCTCGGGAGCCGCTCGTGTGCAAGCCAGCCGACGGCGATCGGCCCCGGTCTATCGCCGCAGCGAGTCAGAGAGTCAGCCACGCCGCAAGCCGCAGTCACACCTCCCTCCCAAACGGGCTGCGGCCCCCCCATCCCATTCGCGACCCCACACCCTCGCGCCGCCCTGTTACCTGCACCTCAACCCCCCCGCCGCGACCCCCGCCAGGCCCTGTCCCGCGCCATGAGCGGCAACTACGTCAATTTTGGCGTGTTTGAGCTGTACGGGGACACGGCACTGAGGGACGCCCTGGACGTGGCTCTGCGCATGGTGGTGTCCATACCGCAGGCTGACATCATGGGGTTCAAGTGAGGGGGGGGGCAGGGGGGCAGGAGGCAGGGATTGAGGCAGGGGTTTCGTACGGATTGTGACGGGGGGTTTGGGTTGCGGCGGTTTGGTTTAGGATTGAGGGGGGCCACAAACCCGCGACCTTTGGCTGATTTGGGCCGTGGGAGGGGGCAAGGGCTCACACAGGATGGGGGGGGCGGCCGGTTGTAGGCCGACAGTCGGCAGGGGTGCAAGGGCATGGCCGCCGTTGAGGGGATGTGGCCTGGTGTTTTGGGGTCGCCGGCCCTGCCGACACACAGCCACACGCATCCGCACACACGCGGGCACACATGCAAGCGCGCCCAATACCACGCTGCACCCCACCCATCGTATACCACCCCCCAGGAAGGTGTCCAAGGCGTACTTTGCGCTGCTGGAGGTGCTGTGCCACAGCCACACCGCCACCATCGCCAACACGGACGCGGCCACATTCAACTACATCCTCACCAGCCTGGAGCAGGTGGGCCGCAGGGGGCGCGCACCCGCGCGCGCGCGCGACGGAAATCGGAGGGGCCCGCCTGGCGTTGGTGCAAGCGCAGGGGAGGGGCGCGGCGCTGGGCGCGGCACTGCAGGTCGGCGGATCGTCGCGGCGACGGCTGCAAAGACGCACGGCCGCGGCCGCGATTGGTGGTCCCACGCCCCTCATTCTGCGGGCTCACGCGCACCCGCTCCTCCAATCTCACTTATCACCCACCTCACACACACACTCACACACACACACACACACACACACACACACACACACACACACACACGCACGCACCTACGCATGCACACACTCACAAACACACACTCACACACACATACACACATCCACACACACATACATACACACACTCATACACACACACACACATACACACACACACACACTTGCACTCATTCCCTCACGCCAGGGCCTGAAGAGTGTGGACGTGATCGTGTCCAGCGCCTGCGCCAGCGCGGTGGACAACCTGGCGGCCTTCTACTTCAGAAACGTGGTGCAGGGGCCAGAGTCCGGCAAGGCGGCGCCCGGGGCAGAGGTGCGGCGCGGCGCGGCGCGGCGCGGCTTGGCGCGGCGCGCGGGTGCACGTTTGGAGGCCGGGCACTGGGCAGGGCGGGGAATGTTTGATAACGGAGCAGCTGGGGCCACTTAGTGGAGGACGTGAACCCCCGATGTCTGTTCTCCGGCGCTGCCGCAGCGACGATGCAAATTCCTTCTGTGCCTTGCGCCTGCTGGCCCCCCTCCTCTCCCTTCAGCCATTAACCTCACACGTCTATCTTAATCCTCCCCCCTTCCCCCGCATACAATCACATGCACACATGTACACACACGCACACGCACACTCACACACGCGCGCGCGCGCACGATACCCACGCCGCGCCAGGCCATCGAGGCTCACCTGCGGCAGCAGCCCCACCTGCTGCCAGAGGTGCTTCGGGCGCTGTTTGAGATCATCCTTTTTGAGGAGTGCAGCAACCAGTGGAGCCTCAGCAGGCCCATGCTGAGCCTCATCCTCGTCAACGAGGCCGTCTTCCCGGACTTGCAGCGGCAGGTGCGCGCGTGTGTGCGCGTGTGTGTATGTGTGTGCGTGTGCGCACGTGTGTGTGTGTGTGTGTGTGTGTGTGTATGTGTGTGTGTGTGCGTGCAGGGGCGAGGTGTGTAGGTAATCTTGCTTGTATGTGGGTGTGAGTGCGTGCG